AACACGCGGCCTGCCAAGGACATTTATCCGGCCCGCCGGATGTTTTTGCCGCCGCTGCCTGTCCTGCTTAGCAGCCGACTTGTCCCAGGCCCACAGTGCGCATGTCCAGACCTCCAATGGTCTGAGGGACAGTGAACTGGCCCCCTGTTTAAAAAGTTTGAGGACCCCTGCTATAAACCCATAGTTGGATCTAATCTTCTCAATATGCATTGTACCACTGACATTACAGGGCACAGATATACAATATGTCTTAGCAGTGACGCTTTGCCACAAGGATGCAGCAACAGTTATTAGTATTAGTGTGGAATCAATTGGATATAGCAGGAAAGAGAAACTTCTTGCCTGTGGCCTAAAATAAATCTTGGGGCATCTAATCTCTCCCAACAACATCCTAGGACAATGAATGCTTGCATTGGAAAAGGAAACAGGGAGCAAAGTCATGACACTGGCTGAAGCCCTGCACTTTGGACAGCGACCTACCAATGTTAGGAAGGCATCCACACCCCTCATGTCATCCTTCCCAAGAAGGGAATATGCAACCCTCCCCATTATAACTTTTCATCTCCAAGATAGATTCCGTTTATAAATAACAGAAGGAAGGATGAATCACCAAGGGAGTACACAGATGTATAACCCAAGCTTACAGAAATAGTATAAGGAAAGCTAAACCTCAAAATGAGCTGAGACTGGCTAGGCAAGCAAGGAGCAACAAAAAGGGTTTTTTTCAAATATGTTTAAAGCGAGAGAATGACCAAGGAAATGGTGGGACTGACGCTCAGAAAGGACAATAAAATGCTAACAGTTCACAACAAAAAGGCAGAACTGCTCAATACTTATTTTATTTCAGTGTTGTTTGTTTTTTCTCAACAAGATGACTGAGTGCTTCCATGCATCAGCGGAGATTTGGGTAAGGGATTTGGATTACAAATCAAGATTTTGAAAGGAAATTAGTTATGAATCAGCTAGTCAGCTTCGGTGACTTGAAATCTTTAGCACCAGATGAATTGCATCCCAGAGTATTGAAGAAATTGCTGACATACTAGCAGAACCATTTGACATCATTTTTTAAAAAATCTTGCACAATAGGTGAGGTGTCAGAAGACTGGAGACAAGCAAATGTGGTCCCTCTCTTCAAAAAATGCAAAAAGGAGATCCAGCCTGACTTCAATACCAGGAAAAATATTAGAACCGATTAGGCTCTATTTCAGAGGAAGGAACTGGCAAAACCATCTCTGACTATTCCTTGTCTAAGAAAACTCTATAAAATTCATGGGGTTGCCATAACTCAAGCAACTTGAAGGCAAACAGACACACATAAAGGAGTATGCAAGTATCTTGACGACAATGCAGAGATGCAGCATGGGTTTGTCAAGAACAAAGCCTGTCAGACTAAACT